TTAAACATTTCTGTGAAGTGTTCAAAATGTTTTAATATTCTGAGAATACAAATAAAGACACACTGTTTGATTGATATTTGTTTTATTGATTGCTATACCAAATGAATGCATGAAATAACCTTTAATAGATTTGGTAATATGAAGTATATCAATTCATGACTTTTTTTACATTTCTACGAAGTATTCACAATGCTTTAATATTTTGAGAGCATGGATAAAGACATATTGTTAGTTTGATACGTGTTTCTGTGGTTAAATTTGTGTTTCCAGCTGTGTACTGACAGCATTCCTTTACTTAAGCAGTTTTTTTTTTTTTTTTTTTTTGGACTGTTTTTTTTTTTTCGCCCTCTCGCACCGATTTTGGGGTACCCAGAGGATGTCATCCATAAAAATAAAAAAGTGTGGCCTAATCAGTTGACGAATAGTTTATTGACGAGTAGACTCTTTTTAACAAAATCACGCGCCCTTATGGCGCACAAACAGGGCTTTTTATGCGCCCAGTTACGATTCTATGTGCGTATGGCGCGTTCCTTCCCAATCACTGGGGCCACATTACAGACCACAAATAACTCCACGCAAACCAACTTTGAAATCTTCCGAATGCATTAATGTTGAAGATGATACCCCAACCAATGCTGGTCTGACCTCACAAACCATGAAGAATATAAAAGATAATACAATGACTGATCCTGTCATGGCCAAGTTACTCAATACCATAACACATGGGTGGCCAACACAGAAAGTTGACTTAGATCCAGGTCTCACACCATACTGGTCCTTTAGAGATGAACTTACAGTTCATGATGGTGTAGTTTACAAAGGACTCCAAGTTGTAATACCGCCAATGCTAACAAAAAATATGCTTCGTAAGATTCATGTGGCACATTCGTTATTTTGAAACTATNTTTTCAGTTCTTTGTCTGTACATTTGACAGCTTTGCTGCCTTGTTATTAAGATCTCTTTGAAACTTGACAAATTGAAGTCTTTCACTTATAAGCTGGTGGCTTTTCTTAATATTTTGTGTATTTAATGTGACTTTTCTAACTAAAGTCTTTCATAGATTATTTGATGATTTTTGGCTTTGATGGAGAAACTGAATATTTGAGGAAAGATCCTCAAGAGCTTCATGTATGATAAATTGTGTTTGAAACTTTTGCAACTGCTGACTTCTTTGATAACTGCTTGGGTGCTTTTGTCAAATGAAAACCAGATCTTGAAATTTTGTTGTAGAGTTTGTTTACATTGTTTATAAAAACATCTTTCATTATGAACAAAGTTTAAACAAACTTGGTTTAGACCAGGATATAGTCTAAGACCCCATTCCCAGAGATTAGATCGATCCAAACTAGATCGACCTAACTCCCTGGGGGTTCACGCTAAATAGCTGTCAGCCGAGCGGGCACGAAAGTTAATTACATCCTTACAGCTTGTAGTAAGGGGGACGGACATTTAAGCCAGATTATCTGACAGTAATCTAGTGAGACTCCCCACGGGGATAGATCGATCTAAATGTCTGGGAATACGCCCTAAGAGTTTATGGTTAGGTTTTCGAACTGCCAACACTTGCACATTTTTCACTAGACATTTATTTGGGCTCTAAATGTCTGGATAATTGTATTTTTAATTAGTTTTAACGCTCAAGTCCATTATATGCAGATATTTACTTCTTCTGTACTATTAATTTCAAATTGACAGGAGAATGAAAAAAGTTGGTCAAAAGTTAGTCAATTTTATGTTTCATATACATTATGGAAACAAATATTTGTGAATGTCTTACTAAATATTTTGATTAAAAATCATTGTATTTCATTCAATTTATCATATTATAGTGGTTGTTATTTTCCATTATATTATCTTTTTGGTTATTTTGATATTGCTCAAAAGCTGCATAGCCTATAATTAAGTGACCTTGCAGATTTACTACTAGATGGAGCCACAAAGCAAGATAAAAGTGATTTGACATTTTATGCTTTTCAGTAATGTAGAGAAATGTTGGTATTGATAAGAATATAAAAAGTATAGTTTTCTGTTGGCATTATATTCATATTTTTGGTCAACAATGAGATCTTGGTTGTCCTTTGAAAAACCTCTTGTTCTCACTCTGAGTATATTCAGCTTTTTACATCTACTGTCTTGGGGACAAAATGTGCACTGAAACCAAAAATCCACTAATAAGACGCTTGGTAAAATATATTCTATAGCTGATGGTAGTGAGGTACTGCTGTTGTAATAACTAGATAACTGCTACGGATACAGAGCTCATCATAGGGCTTAATTGGAAGCAATATATTTACTCTGGGATTGTGTTATTCCATATCATGTGTGAATAAGTTGTTGAATTTCACAACGTAAAGAATATCGGCAATGTTTTGCTTAGGGCAGTGCAGATTCATCATTGTGTTCTGGTATTAATACTACATGTAGTCTGATATTATACCTGATAGTGATTGATAAGTAAGTCTCCACATTAAATGGTCATCAATCTTAGCAATAACACACCAGTCTTGGAATAAGCAGATAGCAGTTAAGAATTTAGGGTTTGGTATTCATCATTGATATCAAGGAAATTTCTCTGTGAGTAAAAGAGATGCCATAGGTACCATTTATGTAAGTTGGCTGCTCCATTTAGTTGTGGACACTGTGTTAAACAGATTTTTATGAGTGATGAATTTTACTTAAAATTTTCTAGCATTTTGTAAGTATACTAGCATATGTCAATTGTAACTATTGGAAATATATTCAGTTCGAGTTCAGATGATGTCCAAAAATATATTGTGATAAATATGTCACATAATCACCTATTAACTTTCTGAACAGAAGTTTTATATTATTCATTTCCTTGATATATTTGATGAGTTAATATAAATTTGTTTTGAATTAAAACAGCTTTTAAGTTTCTCCTAAGTTTACACATTTTGGGATTGTAGTGCTGTCTCAATGCAAGGCCATGGATGAGGGTAGAAGTCATAAATTCAACGTTATAACCTCAACATATGCAGTGCAAATACTCAAGTAATTTAAATCAATCCAGATGTCACTCTAGTCATGATTTAAGGACCAAGGTCTAGCCAGTTTTGTTGAAACTTGAGTCGGAATGGGATTTCTTAGCTTGCCAGAACCTCCTCAATGATAAACTGTAGCATTTGAGATGAGTTTCTTAAAAAAAAAACTCTGAAACTCCTAGTGATTCCAGGTGGATGTTAGATGAAAGTAGATTAAAATGTGTCGAGATTTTTTAATCGTCATAAATGGATTTTTTTTTTTTTTTTTTTTTTGTATATTCGGATGTGCAATGACATAAAATTGTTCATAAATAGAATTGAATAAGTAACACCTTACATGATACTAAGTGATAACTGTTTGTTGTAGGAGTGACAAACAAGGTGATTCCATGCAAGGTAGAATAAAAGTAGCTATGGCAAAAAGTGTATATATCGTACTCGATCCCACAAATATTTCGGTTTGTAGATATTTATTCGAGAAGATTTGTTAATGTTTTGTTGTAAATCTGCAAACACATGTATATGACAGTCTGGAAGACTGTGCTTAGAAAAATTAATAAAAACATTTGAAATGTTGTTTTAGTCTTTTTTCTGAAGTCTTTTTAAAAAAACTTTCCTTTTATAAAAAATGGCTGTTTTATTGTGCCTTAAAAGTGGAGAAAAATTGAGACATTTTCAAAAAGTCCTCGTACACTTTCAGACGTCATGACAAAAAGGTAAATTAACAATTGTGTTAGATAATTCGTGATTTGGGACACTGGTAAAACCGATAATATTATCAGATCCTCAATTGTGTATAGTGACGAGCACAATCAAACGGAGAAAACGACAACTGGAAAACTTTTCAGTCGATCATTCGCCGGTAACGTGCGCTGGGACCTCGTCACATGCTGAATGATATTTACTCACGCTGGCTGCATATCCAATATTTGATGGAGATTGAGCTCAAGAAAATTGGTCCATATTCACCACCACCCCCACCCCCATCTCCCCAAAAACAAACAAAAAAAAAATACTTTGATGCATAAAAAAATGGTTTCATAGACCTCTGCATGAGTTGAAAATTATCTTTTCGAATGTTCGGGTCCCGGGGGGGAAGGGGGGAGGGATGGAAAGACTTTTTGAAACGGGGGGAGACCCCACCCCCTGAATCTGTCCATGATCGCATATGACAGCATAATGATCAAAGCATTATACTCCGTGAAAGATAATGACGAATGTGAAAAATATCATAATAAAAATGACTTTATTGAAACAAATTGCACGTACTGAGTCATTTCACCAATATGTTACAATATTTATGTTTTTAGTTTGACGTGGATGATGTTACTGCGTTTATGATCAGTAAACATGATAATCACAATAGAAAAATAAATCCCACCCATGATTCGCTCGAAAAACATGGTTGCCAAATGAATACAAGGACCTCAGCTGGCCATAGATTTTCCCCTTAGTTGAGTATGACCGGTGTCGTACACTAGAGGGTGCCAAAGGGGAGGGAAGGGAAGGAGAAATGGACCAATGCATTAATGACATCATGGCTATAAAAGGTTTTTGCAACTTTTGTGATGTTTTAAATCGATTTATAATTCATAATACCATATCTTATGAATATTTTAATATTTAAAATGTAAAAAGTTTTTGTTCGGCTAGGATTTTTAACTTGGTTTTGATTAGTCTGTCCATGAAACATATATTCTTTTAAAATAAAAAAGGGGTTAATTAAGAGATCAGTATAAGATCAGTTCGCAGAATTCTATACGTGTACGTAATGCTATCCTCCCTGCCTCCGTCGATCCTTCTGGCACCTTCTCAAAAGCCCCATTTGCCGTATCATTGATTCACCGTTACCAGCCCTTGCATTATGAGGCTCATCATCCACTCTGCGGTTCATGACGTTTCAGTAGTTCAGTCGTCCAAGAGGAACCGTTCCTGAACATCACTGAACCCCATCGCCAGGCGGAAAGGGCAGGGCGAACCACCGGGAGAAGGCGAACATGCGCTGCGAATGGACCTGCATCGACAAACCGTTGAGCATCTTGTTTGCGCGACTGGGTCGTTTTGTGGCACGGCACCCCCTGCTCCTGTTCTTTGGCCCCCTTCTGGTGACTGGGATTCTTGGGACGGGTTTTTATAGATTCCAGCAAATTTTGGACGTGGAATATTTGTTTACGCCGGAACACGGTAGGGCAAAGGCGGAGCGAGACACGGCGCGGAGACTGTTTCCCAGAACGGAAGATTTCGACCCAGTCAGAAACACCGAAGCCGGCCTCTATGTGAGGTTTATTATAACACCCAAAGGTAAAACGAACATACTAGATCGAGGCATTTTGGAGGAGATATTGGAGGTTCACAACCAAGTTTTCAATTTCACTGTGTATGGGAATGACGAACAGGAGTACAAATTTCAAGACCTCTGTGCCAAATGGAAAGGCAAGTGCGTAGAAACAAACCCACTTCTTTACGCTATTGGGTACAATTCATCCAACATCGATCGAACAAGACTCTCCTATCCGTTTCACCAAATCACGGCAACGCACCATGTGACACTGCCGAACGGTTCTACAATATACCACACCGAAAGGCGGCCGATATTCTTAGGCAACTCATTAGGAGGGATTAGGCTGGATGCCGGCGGCTCCATAATATCGAGCACTGCAGCTCAGTTAGTGTACTACCTCAATGAAGACCTGAACCCGAAGCTGGGGAAAACGTGGGAGAAGCAGCTGACGCTCGGCATTAGCTTGTGGAATCTGTCCAGAATCGATATAACTTATTTTACGTCACATACCCTGGAGACAGAGCTGGAGCACAATAGAGAGCAGATACTGCCGCTGTTCCGCATCACCATTGTACTGTTGATTGCGTTCTCTATGCTCTCCAGCATGACGCAGGTATTTTCATTTGCGAATTTGTTATCAATTGGTGAAAAAGCAGCACTGGCGGATTCAAGATGTATCAAAAAAGAAAAAAGAGAAAACTCTTATTTTTCCTGCGTACGATGGGCACTTGGCTTTTAGTGCAAAAATTGTCCGAGGATTACTAGTTCATCGCCTTGGAAGTCGGTCCACCATTATCACTTTTAACAGCGCTAAGCATGAGTAGACGCATCGTTGTTTATTTAAGACTTTCGAAACAATCAATAATCGTTGTTTTTTTGCATCCTAATGTTAATAATATAATCAATATATCTATACAGTGCTCTGTGATGTGGATAGTTCTTTTAAAATTGGTATTAGACGCACATTGGCTAATCTACAAAATGAAAATGGGGGACTGGAGAGTGACCCTACCCCCGATCGGCTACGCCATACATTCCATCTAAAAATGAGATTTTCAACCCAAATTATATTTCGTTTTCTTTTTTTCTTCTCTTTTCTCTTAATTAAATTAGTCAATTAGTTTTTCTTACGTTTACGCTCCGCACTGAAATTAATCAGCCATTAGTTACACCGCGCTATTTGTCATCGCCCATTCCCAGCGCTTTGGAACTCCCTCCAAATTCCTATAACAGCACGTCCTACTGCGTGGTCGATTTATCATCAGGTATTACCCCTATATGACGTCAATTATCATCAGTTGTCACTCATATGACATCAGTTTACCGTCAGGTGTTACCCATATGACGTTAAATGCCGCGTGCAATTCGATAAGTGATCCAGAATAGCGCTGTATGCGCGAAAAGCAAGATTTACTTAGCCTAATTCACATCCACAAAATAACATTGTTACATGGCTTTTACATTTAGATTCATTTGTCGTCTGCTTCTTCCAGGACTGGGTTCGTAGCAAACCATGGCTGGGACTGCTGGGTGTGATGTGTGCGGGTCTAGCAGTCCTGTCCACCTTCGGCCTGTTCATGTATATCGGCGTGCCTTTCAACGACATTGTGGCCTCCATGCCCTTTCTCGTGCTGGGTAAGTTAATAAAAAACACGATGCGTATCTTTAGACGTAAGTCTCTCTCTGTCTCCCCCCCCCCCATCCCCCTCCAAATGACGACGCTCTTCCTTAATTTTAAATTGCTTGTGCAATGCATTGCAATTCTTCCATATTATTTCACTTGTACATAAGTTATTTGTTATATGTAATAGTATAAAGTCATTATGACATGATTTACAGAATGTTTCGTCCCACTTTTAATTGAATAAATTTCTTCCAGATGTGGGTCTTTTAAAAAGTAGAGAATGCAATAAATGTTGTAGAGTATCTTAAATAACACTTATTTGGTTGAGGTCCCTCTCAAAGAATCACATTGTTTCATGTAGGGACTGGAGTGGACAATATGTATATCATGATAGCCACCTGGCGGCAGACGGACCCAAGGGAACCCGTGGAGGAGCGTCTTGGACTGACGTACGCAGATGCCGCCATTTCTATCACCATAACAACCGTAACTGACGTCATTTCTTTTGCCATTGGAGCTTCAACCGATTTTCCTTCGGTTAAAGTTTTCTGTTTGTACTCGGGTAAGTGACATTGGTGTGCCGTTAGCTTTATTTTTTACCATAATAACTGGGTTGAATTGCAAATGAAAAGTGAAACCAAGGGCAATAAATTTATAATCATTTTAGCAAAGTCACATTCAATTTTAAAGTCCGCCAATTTATATCATTACGAGATATTTGCGTTAACCTTAATTAATGACATTGCCTATACCTTCAATGTATGTTTTCCTGGATTAAAAAAAAACCTACAAGAACCTGAAGTGACTTAGATTATATTTTGTTTCATCAGGAGTCGCAGTTCTTTTCACATACCTCTACCAACTGACCTTCTTCGGCGCGTGCATGGTCATCACTGGGCATCGTGAGAATGCCAGCAGACACTGCCTGACTTTTAACAAAGTAAAACCAAGAGGAACGGCAGGTAAGGAGTTTGTGTTTGTTCCATAAACAAATAAAGTTTTATTTGCCAATAGCTATAGAAATAATTAACTGTCAGGGAAATGAGGGCTGTGATAGGTACTATTGCCACCTATAGGTATTATAGTTATGAAGTAGGTATTATCCCTGTTGAAGTTTTCCTGTTGGGAGTCGAAATATTTGCTTGTAAATCTCAGTTAAATTTTCTTTAGTTATTGACAAATTGAAACTTAATTTGCTTATTAAAAAACACGTAACTAATGAAACTGCTCAACGTGTGTTTGTTTGATATATGAAAATATATGTATGACAGATGTTATTGTGTCGAATCGCGCATACAGCCGTGGCTTTCGTGCTCTTGATAATGCCCCAACCAGAGCAAACTGTGGCAACTATTTTTGTGATCACGGCTAGAAATAATTTTAATAAAAAAGTTTTCCTGGAATATTATGTTAAATTATATTGGGAAAAGTAGAAAAAGTTTGCATATATTTTTGTGGAATGCTTAGTTTAACTATGTTTACCGTAGCTAATTACATGTAAATTAGACCTCTTGATTCCAACAATGAAATTGAAAAGTTTTCAGCACCCAGTTTAAATTTCCTGTCTTTCTCCATTCCAGAAAAGCAAAATAAAGCTTACTGGTTCTTCTGCGCAAGCGGAACACCAAAGGTAGTTCGTGAAAGAGACGACCTCAATCCACATTTCCTCATGATGTTCTTCCGTGACTATTACGCCAAATTGATATCTTTCACTCCTACGAAAATCATAGTCTTACTGTGCTATGGCGCATATTTGACTGGAGCAATATGGGGATGTACCAAAGTAAAGGAAGGAATAGAGTTCAAAACATTCGCGGCAGACGACTCTCAAACGGTTGTGTTCTACGAGTCCGAAGAAGAATTCTTCAGTCATTTTGGGCCAAAGATACAAATCATCATTGAGGAGAAAATGAACTACTGGGAACCGGCCATTCAAAGAGATTATCGTAGCCTGTTTGATGAGTTTCTGAGCCATTCTGACTATTTTGATGAGAAAAATTCTGAATGTTGGCTGTGGGGATTTTTAAAATTGGCTCCAAATTTTACCAAAAACACTAGCAGCGGTGCCTTCACAAATTTGTTGAAAAATAGGTATTTTTCCATGGAAGAACGTTACAAACAAGATGTAGTATTCGATGCCAAAAAAGGTACGGACATCATTGCCACACGTTTCTTCATACAGGCCATAAATATCAACTCTTCCATCAGAGAAAGGAGGATGATGGAACTTGCCAGGAATATAGCCGAAAAAAGCAACTTGTCTGTCACCGTTTATCATCCAGCTTTCATTTACTACGACCAGTATCTCTCCGTCATTCCAAACACGCTCATGAATCTGGGAATCGCGTGGGGAGCGATGTTATTGGTCTCCTTATTATTTATCCCTAATCCAATCAGCTCCTTCTGGGTTGCACTGTCCGTGGCTTCCATCGAGGTGGGCGTCATTGGTTACGTAACTCTATGGGACGTTCGTTTGGATTACACAACAATGATAAATTTGATCATATGCATCGGTTTCTCTATAGATTTTTCGGCACATATGGCATATGTTTTTGTCAGTGCGGAGGGAAGTAGGAAATTAAAAACAAGGAAAGCCATGTATTTTCTTGGCCTTCCAATTACCCAAGGTGCAATATCGACGATTCTTGCAGTGATTGTTTTGAGCGCATCCAACGCTTATCTAATGCGCACCTTCTTTAAAATGATTTTATTGGTTGTCGTCCTGGGGGCGGGGCATGGTTTAATTGTGCTTCCGGTAGTTCTCTCTATCGTTATGAGGAATCCAAAAGAACAAGAGATTCCTGAAATTATTAATAACGCTCGGGTACATAAATCGTCTGCTCCTGACTTGGTACCCTCTTCAGGTGTCGATGCTACCAGTGACGAGATGACACCAAAGAAATCAAATGGACACGTGGAAAATGATCAAAAACCTCCTGATTACGGTTCAACTGTCGAAAACGAACGAAAAGTGCCGACATGCTCTGGGAAATGTTTTGAAGCCGAAGAGGTTCCAGAGAAACGAAATCAACTTTGGGTGACATGGGTTTAGGACAAACGAAGGTCAAGGTCCTATGAAGGCGGCAGTCCCTTGCCAGTCTCAACCAAAAGTCTGTGAAATGGATCGTGTTGTTCAAAAGGCGTTTCTCTATACAGCTTAAACCGCACTACGCATTGCTTGGTCAACTAACGTATGCCTGATTCAATGGAGGCGTCAGTGTAGACCCGAAAAACTAATATAAAAGGCGTCAGAAGGGATAAAATGAGCTCATTAAATTGCACCGGTACTTTTTACCACTTACTCAGGGTAATTTTTATTTTAACTTAACGTTAATTTTTTGTTTAAATGGTTTTTGTTACACATTCCAATATGTGATGTAAAAGGAAAAATAGTGAGATTTATCTAGTTGCTATGCTATGGTGATCAAACACCAGAATGACAACGATCTGCAGTCTTGCAAGATCCAGATAGCATATAGTGCTT